AACAAACACAGTAGAACTTTCTTTAGGAAACCGTCAGAGAAAAAAACTGAAGAACTACTTCAAAATAGTAGGGATCGGCTCAGAATAATCACAGGGTTACTAACCGGTCATTGTTCGCTTAGAGGACACATGAATAAAATGGGGCTGTACAACGGAGACCTCAGCTGCAGATTATGCAACGAAGGGACAGAAACAGCTCTACACATCTTATGCGAATGTGAGGCACTGAATCACAGGGGGCAGGCGATTAATGGACGTAAGTATTAAAAGTTACCGAGGTGTGTACAGTTTTCTGGTTCGGAATAGGGTTACAAGTTTTTGAGAAGCAGCTTTTGCAATTCCAGTGACATGATTTCGTCAAGACTTATTGGTGTCCATTTCAATCCCCAACAAACTTATCGAAGCAGAAAGTGGAATTGTCCGACCTGATATTATTATATCCGGTTCGGAGACATTAATCTTTTTGGAGAAAACCGTCACGAAAACCGTCAATGTTATAAAAATAGTGTTGGAGAAGACACTTTTCAATAGTAGTTTTGAATTTTGCGAGGCTTAATGCCTTCAGAGATAAGTGAAGATGATTATACAAATGTAAGTTCAGTGAATTTCTCTTACTAATTGTAAACTTATGTCTGAACAGGTTCAATAAACTTGCGGATCTCGTTCCATATGCATGGATATCACAATGTCTGTAAAATATATTACCGTTTTCATGAATCTCCAGTAAAAGTGTATAAATATATAATGTTGGAAGTAGCATAATTCCAAGTTTAATAAAAAGAGGATGACAATGATTTTTGTAACCTGCTTTGGATATTATTCTTATGGCCTTTTTCTAGCACCTAAAAACACTAATGGAGTTACCTGATTCACCCCAAATCAGAATACCATATGACATAACTGAGTGAAATAATCCATAGTAGGCTCTTTTGAGTGTCATCAAGCTGACCACATTATTTAATCATCTCGACAAAAATAAGACAGTGGAAAGTTTGCCAGTCACAGCTTTGATACGATCAGACCAGCTCAATCTATTATCAATAACGAATCCTAAAAAATTTATACTTTTTGTTGGATGCATATTTGGATTGGAAGATACAATTAAATTTTGAGTTTAATTTTAATTCAGAGTCAGCTTATAGCAGAAAACCATTTATATGCTAATGTTTCGCTATCTCGTATCATTAGTTATAAGCTGGTTAAGTCTATGCTAGAACATAATAGAGTTGTATCATCTGCAAACAAGGTAAATCATGATGGTTTTATAAAACTGCTTAGATCATTGATATAGATCAAGAATAATAGCGGACCTAAAATGGAGCCCTGAGAGACGCCATGCTTCATTTCTTTGAGGTCTAACTTCATGTTGTTCACTTCAACATATTGGTACCTATTTGTGAGACGAGACTAGACGAGCTTGAGAGCTATGCCCTGGACACCATAGTAACTCATTTTATAATAAATGGGCTTTATTCATTGACATAGACATTGACAAGAGTGCTTTCTCTTGATCAAGTCCTTCGACTTGATTATAAGCTGCGTGAGTAGTAGACCTATTTCTTCAAAAGCCATATTGTGAACTGTTGAAGTAGAACTGTTTTTCAAAGTAAGAATAAAAATTGTTTTTTTCAAAATTAACTCAATTATTTTCCCAATTATAGATATTATGCTAATTGGGCGTTAATTATTCGGTGAAGATTTAGAACCTATTTCAAATACAGGTATCACATTAGATATTTTAAAAACATCTGGAAATATTTCCTTCAAAAAATTTTTGTTAAATAATGCTGTCAGTGGGATTGCAGTTATGTCGGCGACTGATTTTTTTTATCTGGCTATTTAGGTCGTGTATATCGCGAGAATTATTGTCCTCGAGAGATTTTATTGTATAAACTACTTGCTGAAGACAGACAGGTTCCAGAAAAAAAGATTGGCAGGATGAAGGAAAGCTCTTCAAGTTATTTAGGTCATTTATTGAGAGATCAGGAAGAGTTGTAATAATATTTTCAGCTTTACTGTAGAAAAAGTCAGTCAAACATTGTCCTGATATATTTACTGGTTTATTTACTTTTATGGGCATCCTTTTGCTATTCATTATAGTCCAGCAGGCTTTGGAAATGTTACTGGAACTTGAAATATACTGTAACTGGAGCTCATAATCTTTCTACAGTGTCCTGAATGTCACCATATAGTATGGACCTTGAGACATTACTGCTGCATTTTTTGCAGTCTTGAGATTGATTTGCATTCCTTCAAGTGTTATTAAAGGTTACTTAGTGTCTATTAATTGTAGTAAAACGACCATCTCCTAGGATATCTCATATATAGGGGATATAATCAATATCACCAGATGGCCATTTTACTACAGATAGTGAGGCAAACTACTCAGTTACTGAGAAAGAATGTCTGGCATTAATAAAAGCAGTTACATTATTCAGAACATATCTGGAGAGAAACCAATTTATAATTCATAATGACCATGCAACTTTTGACATCAGGCTATTTAAGAGATCGTTTGGCCAGATGACAGATATTTTTGAGGAATTGAAATGAAATAAATCATTAACCGGGAAAAGAAATAGAAGATGCAGATGCTATTTCAAGATTATGTATAGATGTTCCAGAGGAAGTTCCAGTAGTATTTTGGTGTAATCTGTATATATTCACGATTTGGAGAAAATGGAAAATGTGGTGAAAAATTAAAAAAGAAATCTTAATGCTTCATCATGATGATCTTGAATCAGGAGGACAAGATGGTTACTAGAGAACGTATTATAAAATTAACAAAATATTTTTATGGAAAGGCATGAGTAAAGATATAAAGCATTTCATTAAAACTTGTGAAACTTGCCAACATGTTAAATTCAAATATCTAATGAGGCAACAAGATTTGTTAACGGTAAGGCTCTAAAAAGAAGTGGTCAAGCTCTGAAGAATTGTTTTATGACTCTTTCTTCCAAAGATGAGACGATAAATATTGTTACCGATTTTGGCTCATCATTTGCCTCTGGAATATTACATGAATGGGCTGCGGCTGAAGGAATCAATTTAATTCATACAACTCTTCATCATCCTGGAGAAAATGGTTTAGCAGAAAAACAATACAAGATATTAAAATAATTATGATGAAGTGTTTCCGATTTACAGAGGTAATTAGATTGGAAAAATAATTCAAAAGCTACAATTCGTTATCATCATTGTTCACATAATGAATATCTAGGATGCTTAAAAAATTACAAACTATATGGCAAAGGAACAAAATTTCAAGCTGACAGGAAATTAAGTTGAAAATAGAAAAAATGAAACAACAAAATCGACCTAAGAACAACTGAAATACAAAATAAGGGTTTAGAACAAGCTAATGAAGTAAGAAAATTAAGACCATCAGCACTGAGAGTCGGAGATTGCATTCTGACAAGGAATCAACGTATTGGAAAAGAATTTGTGACGAAAGGACCTTTTGAAGTTAGTTAGAATACCCTTATACAAAAAGTAGGAAACATAGTTACTGGAGAATTATCTTGATATTTCTTCATATTAATATTCTTTCTCCCCTTGTTTTGTCACTATTTGTTTGGTCTCTATCAAATCTATATATGTTGAATCCTCTTAAACCTAATTCACTATCCAAAAAGTCATTATTAAGCCACGTTTCTACTAAAGTTATAATATCACAGTTTGAACACATAAGTTTGTTGAAATTCTAATAGTTTTGTTCTCATACCGCTGACATTTTGAAAATACACAGATAACTGATTGGGTTTTATTTTTTTGCAGCCGCTTCAGTGATTGGAGGTCCTCCATTCACATATCTTATTATAACATTTTCTTCCCTGTGCCTTTTATCCTCGACTTTTACCAGTTTTTCACTTGAAATGCGTCAGATCAGCATTGATAAAAAACTTTCTTTATTGAACTCATCCTTTGTTCTTTTGATTTAATTAGCTTCTATGCTGGAAAAATTACTTTCAAGGCAAGGTTACCACTTTTATTGTTCCGACCAACTCTGAATATCTGTACTTTTGATGTACTGTTTGGAACCTTTGGTGTACTAATGAATATTGTTGGAGTTTTATCCCAACACCAAACTGTTATTTTCAACCTGACAGATTTACCTTACTATTAGATAAGGCCATATTGTAAAATTAATTTAAGACTAATAAATGAGGCAATATTGTGAATTTCATTAATTCGGACTTTGTCTAATATAATATGATTTGAAATCTCTGAAATAACAAAATATTGTGAATTTCATTAATTCGGACTTTGTCTAATATAATGATTTGAAATCTCTGAAATAACAATTGAAAATTAAATTTAGAAATAATAGCTAAAAATAACAATTATATTAAGCAAAAAAAATCCCTGAAATGAAATAACAATAAAATAAAAAATAAATAAAAATTGTTGGAAATAATGAAATTCACCATGAAACATTGTCAACCACCTTCAAACAAAAGGCAACATTGTAAAATTAATTTAAGACAATTAAGACGCGGGTACCTAGCAGAGGTATCTATGGTATAAGGACAACATTGTATGTATATTTAGTTTAATCTTCCTCTTGAAGATGATCACTTGGTGATCGAAACACGTGTCAAGGTTTTAAAAATAACAGTTTGATGTTGGGATAAATCTCCAGTAACATTCTGAATATCTATTCAATATGCAAATCCTCATGAGTAACTTCTTTAACTATTTACTAAACAGTATTCAAGTCAGAATTGCCTTCTGCTAAATTAAATATAATATTGTACATTATTTTTTGTGTTTTGTATATTTCATTTAGGACTGTTTCTTCGGAAAAAGATGAACATGTTGTTTTTGACCTCAAGATTTCAGTTCCTCAACTCATCAATTTTCTTGATTGATGCCACAGAATTTCATACTATCATATCACCCACTACTAGTTACTAGCTACTAGTTGAAAGTTGAAAAAGATTTGAAAAATAGTAGTTTTGATCAATCATTAATTGAAGTAATAAGAGTAGTGAACTAACCTCAATGCTGCTTGATTTACTAAATTTTCTAAATCGGCACCTGTGAAACCAGTTGTTCCTCTAGCTAGTAATTCTAAATCAACATCTTTGGCTAATATTTTACTCATGTATAATCCCAAAATTTCTTTTCTTCCCATGTAGTCAGGTGTGGGTACAGTAACCTGTGAATAATAATTATGATAATTGGGAAAATTTCAAATTCTTTATAAGTTCTACATTCAAAAGTTATATTGTCAACTTCGCATATCTAATTTGGAAACAAACCTCTACATCGAACCTTCCAGGTCTCAACAATGCTTGATCCAAGTCATCGCGTCTATTGGTAGCTCCCAAAACTATAACACCTTCATTCTGATGGAAACCATCCATTTCACTAAGCAGCTGATTTATAGTTTGATTTGCATATGGGTGCAAAACACTATTAGTTCTTTTTGATCCAACCGAGTCAATTTCGTCAATGAAGATTACACATGGTGCACGTTTCTTCGCAGCCTCTGCAAAGGGAATAATTATTTTAAAATATGAAAACGGGAATTCAAGTTGAAAATATAAGTAATATAAGTAATAATAACGAATTTAAACAAATGGAGCAAACCTAATAAGTAGTGTTACATCAAGTGAAAAAGTAACTAATAATTCTTTCTAGGTTGAGTAGTTAACAGAGGAGAAAGATGTGAATCCTCAGGAAATTGTAAAAAGAACAAATTGACGTATTATTGAAAGTTATTGTAAGTCTAACAATAACTCAAAAAACATACTGAATAAATCTCTAACTCTTCTCGCTCCTTGGCCTACCAAAACCTCGTCAAATTCTGGTCCTGCTGCATGGAAAAATGGTACACCTGCTTCTCCTGCAACAGCTCTAGCCAATAGAGTTTTACCAGTTCCTGTAAAAATATGATAAGTACCGATGAAAAACCTGAGCATGAATTTACTTTGTTTTAAGAAAATGTGAGCTACCTGGAGGACCAACAAGCAAAACGCCCTTTGGCAATTTTCCACCTAAGTTTGAGAATTTTTCAGGATTTTTCAAAAATTCGACTACATCTTTCAGTTCCTGCTTTGCTTCATCTACACCTTTAACATCATCAAATGTGACATGAATTTCTTCAGGATCAACTTCGACTTGGTTGCCCAGCTGAATTCTGGAAATCCTTAAATTAGTTAATTTAAAATGTGTGATCATTTATATATACAAATTTATCTCATATATGTCCACAATAAGGAATTATCTGAGTTGGCTGGGAGACAACTTAGTAGGATATTGATGATTAAATTATTGGTCTATGAGAAACATTTATCGAAATTTAAACACATACTTGCAATGTTTTACAAAATACTGAGAATCTATTTGAGAATTTGTGTTAGGTCGAGTTCAAAGTTGAAATTCTAATTTGACACTTGAATACAAAACAGAAAGTTGTACAACTAGTCAGAAATAAAAAATTCAAACTTGTGTTCAAATAGCTAAAACATGTTGTGTCTTCATCTGAAAATGTAATACATTGTGGAATTTATTGACGTTAATTTTAGTGTTTTTGACTCAATGCCGTCATTTGCTAAGGTACCAAGTATCTGTTTTACTCTGATTGTTGAAGATGGATTTTGCTGTAATTTTGCTTTTATAGTTTTATTCAGTCTTCATCTTGAATGCTATACACTGAGGAATGCTAAATGAATAATAAAGAAAGCAAAAATGCTACTTTGTGAAAAATGAATTATTGTAAACTGATATGGAAATGAAAAAAACATTGAAATGAAACTTTACATAAAGATGAAAAGAAAATAAATTACAAAGCTGATTGAAAGCAATTCCCCAAATGCCTAAAATATTAACATTTTTCAAAATCTGAAACCGCCATTACCAACCAAAACAGTCTTCTATATAATAAGTTAAAAATGTATAACCACCTATTATTGCCAATTTACAAATTGAACGATTTCAAGTTTCAATACATGAATAGAAACAAAAATAAAAAAATCTAAATTAGATTACACATAGAATTTTGAATAATAGTACCCACAATTGTCTTCAGGTGATGATGACTTTCAGTTAATGTAATTCCGTTTCTTGTTCAATTTCCTAATATCCTTAAACTTCAACTATTTTACCAACTCATCCAAATAATTAGGTAATATATTTTTATTTTATTCATTTCATGATCATCATGATAAAACAAATTGTTTCAATAATTTGTATTTTATGATTATGGTAACTTCATTAATCTGTAAGTTGAACATTTTTAGGTTTATATCAAATGTTTTTGTTCTAACAAGGTTAGATTTGTTAGATTTTTTGAAAGGACCAATGTGGTTTTATATTTATTTTTCAAACTCCTAGAAAAGTTAATCGTAATACCTATGAATATCTGATATATCTTACCTGAATACTGAACCACTTGCACTGGCCAAAAGACTGACTATAATCGCCAAGAAAATGATAACAGTGAACACTTGAGTGATCATTTTGAAGTATCTTGCCGATTTTCCTGTTTTCACATTTGAATTATTTCCTAACAAATAACCTTCAGCAAAAGCAATTTTCATTCGTTGCTTGTCACTTTCAGACAATGACTCGTCAGTTGTTAGCATGAGTTTCAACTTTTCAGAATTTATTGAGGCTAGTTTTGGTGTTTTTGACTCGATGCCATCAGATGCTGAGCTACCAAATACCTGTTTCAGTCTGGTTGTTAAAGATGGATTTCGCTGTAATTCAGCTTTTATTGTTCGATCAGTCTTGAACCCTCTAAACTGGATGTGAAACGAGCATCGATTTTCACTTAATAATCCCGATACTAGCTTTTGATAAAATCCTAGTGGAACATCGATTTTTTTGTTCCTTACCACTAAAGTGGGAAGAGACTTTTGTAAATCATTTTGAGAAAATCCGTGTTTATTTTCGAAAAAACTATTATTTGAAACATAAGAAACTTTGAATTTGTTCAGAATGTGATTTTCGAATATGGAATCAATATTCAAGTGCTTTGCAAAGGAAAAATCAGTGTTTTTTACAGTTTCCAAGAAACTATCTAAACAGAGAAATTGCTTTACTTTTTTTCCATTCTCAATAGATTTTCTCCTGAAGTACACATTTTGTCTTGTATTAATTTTCGATGAAAATAAGGTGAGTGTAGCAAATGCCTGGAAAATAAGAGCTGAAGTAGAATGGTACACAATATTGCATAACGTACTTGGTTTTGATTTTGCAGTGAGAACATACTGGTTCACATGTATGAAGGAAATGAAAGTTTTATTTTGATGAAAAACTGCAATTTTGTGATGAAATAAAAATAACCTTCTTGACAACTGGTGAACTGGGGTTATTCCATCACTACTACCAACAGTACGACAGTACCAACTACCAACAGAATACAGAGGCTCTATGTTTTTGCCTTTTGATTCCATTCAAGCGCAATTAGCCATTTCCATAATATAATACTGACAGTTGACACTGTTGATATTAGTCCACTGACTGAACTTCAACTTGAACAAGTAAGTGAGTAGTGGAGTAAAACAAAATGAAACAGAATGTGAGGGAATGAGAAATTACTTTTCCCAGAGGTAAACATGAATTTCAGTCATTACTAGAGCTAGAATATAATAGGAAATTTCAATGAACCATCGCAATCTAGGGATTTTTCTATAGGTGGAGATACTCCTGAAGTACCGACATCGGTAGAGAATGAAATGGAAACCGAACTTGAAACTATTTTGTATAGTGAGGGAGCCTTAGGCCCATTTACAGTAATTGTAGAATTGAATAAAGACTCAGGTGTAGGTTTGGAGCGCTTTTTTCACTTAAAAAATAGCTAAGGATATATGTAACTTAAAATTGGAAAATATTATTTAAATCAGAATTAAAAGTAGAAATAAAGTAGGAGTAGATTTTTCTAATAAAAATAGTGCTAATGCAATGTTATTAAACCAAAAATTAAAAGAATCAGGATACCAGGTATACATTCCATACAGTAACGTCACATGCAAAGCCATAGTTGAATGAATAATGTTTATTTGCAGTACAAACAGGTAAAATATAAAATGTAAAATATTTTTACATTCTAAGGTATTTCGCTAAGAAGAAGAATTTTAGTGTTAATAAACAATGATTCCTGCTAAGGCAGAGCCTTGATTTGGTGGATACAAAAGATGTAAAGGAAGGAAAAAGACAAAATTTAGTAAAATATATACATGCAAATAAAGGTAAAAAACACATGAATAGTACAATTATTAATATAAAGTGGAATTGATTATTATACAATACAATTCAAAAATTACATTTAAAAAAAAGGGTTCTTGTTGTGAATGAGTAGTATTTGATTTGATGTATGTATTAATACCACTTTATAATGAATATGTGACTTCTCTTTGTTGACATCTATTTGACAACTGGATAATAATTTACACTAATGATATCACGGGTGTCCCAAATATATAAATATATGTAATACACAACAGTTCTGAACTCAACATACACATACATATCAAATTTGAGATTACGGTAAATCAATTAGTCTTCAAAGGATCTATCTAAAGGCATACTTTACCAAAGAATAAATAAAAACAATTATAAAGATTGTAAAAAAACCTGAAAAAATTTGTAATAAACGATTTTCATTCATTCATTCCCTAGAGGGAGTCAGTCTGTACCTAGAAAGTGAATCGTGCGTTTGAAATAAATCGAACTGTAAAGATAAATTAAGCGTTAGTTGCTAAGTGTTGTACATAAATTAGTTGTGAAAGTGAAATACTGTTAAAAAGAAATTTGCTTAAGACAGTTAATTCTTTAATTCGTTACAAAAGTAAAAAATATGTTTCATATGTATTGAAACTCATACAGATGAAGAAATGTACAAAAATTGTAAAAACACAAAATGTCTTTTTTGTGACAGCAAAAAACATAAATCTAACAGCAGAAAGTGTTCATTTTCTTTTACGAGTCAGCTGAACAAGTTCCGAAAGAAAAAACTCAAATACACAAGGATTTAACGACTACCTATCCAATTTTAAGGAATAGATATGCGATAAATAATGCAATTTCGATTGAACAAAGAAAGGTGGTATATTTGACCAATAACGCAAGCCCGAAGAGATCGAGCGCTCAAAGTGTTAGGGTAGAGAAAAATGTTAAGAATAAAGAACATAGGTTAGGGTACGATAGACAAGCTTACAAAGACGCATTAATATATCCTAACGGTAGAAATTTGCAAACAGAGGATGGGGCATATTTACAGTGGGTCAGTCAAACACAAATAGGGGGGCAATTAAAAACATATTTTGGTGGACAAAACATAAAAAGAACACATAATCATTCTCAATTAGATACCACACAAACGACACAATTAAACCTCACACAATCAAGCGACAGATTAAATTCAACAATATTAGGAGCAGAACCAAAATTTGGTGCGTGTGCTGGGTTGAAATGGAATGTTATATGCTCTTCGGTAGAGGCCGCGGCCATAATCTTTTGGAAATACTTAGAGGTACCAATGAAATTGCCTCGACAATCGCTATAAATGTGGTTACAACGTCCTCGACGAGAGATAAATCTACGAAGGCCGGCAAGAAAGGCTTCAGTAGTAGTCAACTCTGAGACGAGTTCGATGTGTATGGCCTTTGTGGCCATGCATACAAAAATGCATGCGTAAGACTTGAATATTTTCGCTCCTCTAATTTTTCCAAGCTTGACAGAGAAAGGGCCTGCCATGTCTACACCAACCTGAGAAAAAGGCTTCATTTGTGAGATACGAACAATGGGAAGGTTGCCCATGGGAGGCTGCAGAGAGATGGGATTCACTCGAAAACAACGATGACAAGTGGATACCGCTTTGCGAATAGTGCGTTTTGGAGATATTATCCAGTATCTTTGAGCCAAGAGATTATGAAGGGTTGAAATTCCCGGGTGAAGGAATTTTCTGTGAGTGGATTCGATTATGCCTAACGATTGCTAGGCAGTAAAGCGGGATGTTTCGTTTCAAATGGTAATGAAGAGCGACCTAGGCGTCCGCCCACCCTGACAATACCTTTTGTATCCAGAAATGTGCTAAGTTTACGGAAGCTTTTGGGGAAAAGTTTATTATTCTTGAGAAGATTTATTTCTTTTGAGAATTCGAGCTCTTGAGTAAATTTTATCAAGATAATCAGAGACTCCTCCATCTCGAGTTCAGAGATAGAGTCAAAATTACGAAACTTTGGATTTTTCGAATTATGCACAAACCTAAACAAATAACAAATAATTCTTTGAATCTTGACTAGAGAAGAGAAGGAGGTGAGAAGTGCCGAGAGTGGGTGATCATCCTCAACGGTAGAAATAAAGATGTTCCTTTTCTCTTCTTCGGTTTCTAACAAAAAATGCTGTTTTGGAGCCCAACACGACGATGGAAGAGCCAGAAAAGGCGGTCCCGCCCACCATTGTTGATTCTCCACCAATTCCATAGGGCTCAGGCCCCTGGAGGCGGGATCCGCTGGGTTGTTCGTTGAGGAAACATGATCCCAACAAGAGAAAGGCACCAATTCTTGTATCTGAGTAACTCTGTTACAGACAAAGGTATTCCATTTATGAGGGGAGCTACTCAGCCAAGTGAGGACTATAGTTGAGTCAGCCCAGGCGCATATTTGCTGAATAGGTAACTTATTCTTAAACAGTTCACTCACGAAGTGTAACAACTTGGCAAGCAATAAAGCACCACAAAGTTCCAGTTTCGGTATAGATATCTTTTTCAACGGGGCGACCTTTGCTTTGGCGCTAAGTAAATGAGTCGAGATTTCTCCATTTTTATTCAGGCATCTGAGGTATACTACCGCTGCATAGGCCTTTTCTGAGGCGTCGCAGAATCCATGGATTTCTGCCAGAGTCGTATGAGGAGACAAAACAAATCTTGGGATTTGTAGAGCAGATAAACTCTTGAGATCAGTTTTGATCCTGTCTCAACTTTGAACAATACTCCCAGGGGGTTTTTCATCCCAGTCCAACCCTAGAGTCCAAAGTTGCTGAATGATAATTTTTAAAGAGATTGTGAAGGGTGCCAGAAGGCCTAAGGGGTCAAAAACCCTTGCCAACTCTGACAATATTGTACGTTTCGTACAACAAACACTAACTGGGTTGACATGAAACGAGAAAGAATCACTGGAGGGATCCTATTGAAGACCTAAAATTTTCACTGTTGACTTACTGTCAGAGTCGAAGGTCAATGGGTTATACTGCAAGCTATCTGTTTTTAAGTGCCCCAGAAGCGATGGTTCGTTATTGGCCCATTTACGGAGCTCAAACCCACCTTTTTCCAGGAGCTCTATGAGTTCCTTTTGCAGGGAGAGGGCTTGACAAAGAGAGTCTTCACCGGTAACGATATCATCCATATAGACATCAGTCTCTAATACACGAGAAGCTAGGGGGTATACTGACTTATGCTCTTTGCTTGATTGCAGCAGAGTTCGGATAGCTTGAAAGGGAGAGGAGTTTATTCCGTAAACAATGGTTAATAATCTGACATCTTCGATAGGTCCCAAGGGAGAAAATCGCGATAAAATTCTCTGATAGTTCACATGTCTCCGTGAAATCAGAATCTGGCGATACATCTGCTTAATATCTGCAGTGAACACTATAACGGGTAGTCGAAACCTCAAAAGGATGGAAACTATATCTCTTTGAAGCTTGGGCCCTGTCATGAGGGTATCATTTAGGGAAATATTATTTTGAGCTGGGGCAGATGCATCAAACACTACTCTCAACTTAGTTGTTGAGCTCTCTGGTTTGATCACCCACAAGTGAGGAATGTAATAAGATGGGAGAGAAAGCTGACCATCGGTTACGGTTTCCATATGACCATATGACTCATTATATTTAGAGAACAATGGAGGATTTTTCAGCAGACGACGTTCCGTTGATAGGAAACGCCTCATAGCCACATTTCGTGAACCTTCGAATGTGGGTTCTGGAATTCGAAAAGGTAACTCTACGATGAAGCGACCCATTTCTGTACGGGAAAAAGTAGCCTGAAAATGATTCTCTGCCAGGATATCCTCTGGGGATAAAGTTGGGGCAGTTGGTACCTGTTCAATTTCTCAAAACTTCTTAATAGTGCTTTCTAATGAGTTTTCGAAATGCGTTAAAAAAGTGTTGGAGATGGTAGTGGAAGAGTGACAATAATCGATTTTACCCATGATTACCCAACCGAATTTTGTCTCTAGAGCCATCGGTTCGTGAATTGATGTACTCATAGATGCGCCGGTAAGAATGTACCCAGATATGTCTGCACCCAATAGCATATCCACCGGTCCTGATATGTTGAAGTTTGGATCAGCTAATTCTAAATCAGAAAACCGAGTAAAGCAATTTTTCGGAATATCTACATTCGGCATATTTGAAAGTAGGAGATTTGAGCCGGTTCTAAGCCTCCCCCCACCACTATGACGTATTAATAGCTTTTTTTTTGTTGTTGTTTAGTGAAGTCAAGGCGATGTGACCTTTAAGCGTCTGGTGTATGGATCGTT